AGGTAGGCAGATGCAGCTGTGGCAGGGCCCAGGCCAACCAGCGACAATCCTTTCCCTGACTCATTCCTCCTCCTTCCCCGCTTCCTGCCCTGCTGACGTTTTGAGGGATCCCTCCTACGCAAGCAGGGCCACCACCCTTTGCTGCTGCAACTCTGCACCTGCACCAGCCAGTGAGAGTGGACGGCACAGGAAGGGCCACCAGAGGCCTCCCGCCGCCCTGGCACACTCAAGTTGCAAGGGTTGCACGCAGGCCGGGAGTAGCAATAGGGTTTCATGTATGCGCAGGGCCTTGGAGCAGGTGTGATTATATGGGCCCCCATTGCCAGAGACTTGTGAGGAGACTTCTGCATGTGGAAGCAGGCAACTGGATTGGGCCTTGCGTTTTTCTTTGTTTTTTATAGAGCCTGCCCAGAGACTGAGGACGAATGGCAGAGAAACCATTACCAGTTTGTGAGTCAGTACTGCTGCTGCAGCTCCTGTTTGTCGCTAGTACATCGGGTGTGGCTTCCAGTCGTGATCGCCCTCTTTGCAGCGACAGCCCGTTTGGCTTGCGATCAAAACAGCAAGTGGGACATTGTGCAGACAGCAGTCTCATCTCAGAGCAGAAGCCTCGTCGATGCCCAGAAGCCATTAAAGGCTGCTTTGGTTTTGCTAATAACCCGTCTTCTCCCATTAGGCTGATGAAAACCGATCCTTGTAGTAAAGACCTTTAAGTAACTGCTTCAAGACACAAAACGGTAGCCTCTCTGTCTGTCTCAGAGACTGAATTTTAAACACAGGGCTCATAAATCTGCTGCGGTCTGTCTGAACCACAGGTTCCTCTCAGAGACTTCATAAATGAGTCAGATCCTGCGCGCTAGGGAAATATGTGAAGAGAGAGTTTTTGCACCTAGTCCGGTGGTAGAAAGTGCCCCCCAGTCGCAACTGATTTAGGGAAGCCCCATGGGGCTTGCAAGGCAAGAGGCAAGCAGAGGTGGGCTGCCGTTGCCTACCTCTGCAAAGCAACCCTGGACTTCCTTGGTGGTCTCCCATCCAAGTACTGACCAGGGCTGACCCTGCTTAGCTGCTGAGATTTGATGCTTTTGGACTAGCCTGGGCCATTTAGGTCCAGGCCACCCCTGCTTTCAGGAGTTCTAAAGGAAAGAGTTCTACTACAACAGACAGGTTTGTGTGTTCTACAGCCAAGAAGAAGAAGAAAAGATTGGATTTATACCCCGCCCTTCACTACCCAAAGGAGTCTCAGAGCGGCTTACAATCTCCTTCCCCTCCTCACAACAGCCACCCTGTAAGGTAGGCGGGGCTGAGAGAGCTCTTTCGAGAACGGCCCTTGAGAGAACAGCCCTGAAAGAACTTGTGACTGACCCAAGGTCACGCCAACAGCTGCACATAGACGAGTGGGGAATCAAACCCGGTTCTCCCAGATTAGAGTCCGTGCTCCTAACCTTTACACCCAACTGGCTCTCCAGTCTGGTTGGATCCTGTGGAAATTCCCACTGATTGGGGGTGGGAAAGGTTTCTTTTTCTGATTCTCCCCTGATCCAGACCCCCAGTCCCCACCCCCATTCCGTTTCCGGAGGTCCCCCGTCTCCCAGGATCTTATGAGGCACCTGAGGCAGTCCTGTTCTGCTGATGGAAATCCCGCACATCAGTAGAGGTTTTTTTCCACAGGATCAATCCCATTAGCAATACATGCCAAGGCAACCCAAAGTCTGCCCCGCAGACAAGGTGAATTCCAAAAAATTGTGGTCACCTCGCAGTGAGAGCAGAAAGCCTCCTGTGTTTAAATATTCAGCACACCAACACCGTCAGTCATTCTCAGACACAAGGTAGTACTTTGAAAGCATTACAGTCCCGCCCCACTGCCTGCGTGAAACAAAACTGCATTTATAAACTGAACAAAGAGTGAAATCTTGACAGCCAAAGGCAGCACCTCTGTGGACAGTATACAAGAGGAGCAAAACGGTATAGCGGAAGAGATGATAGAATGGCTGTTGTTGCAGGTGGGGTGAGGGAATGCTGCTTTTGGAAAGTTCCACGCATTTCAAATAGTCCCTTGCAAATTATGTGCATAAGGGAGAAAAGTTCTATCTCGGCCCTCTTTCTGTTGTACTGGATATTTTGTTTTTAGGTGCACGGGGCATTTAAAAAAACGCGATTTCCCGTCACCCGCAGTGTGAAGTGGTGTCGTCCACTGTGCCACCTCAGTCTGGCAAATGTGAAGACCGGATCAAAGTCGCTCACCATGACAGGACTTACTTTGCATGAAGTAATACATAAGAGCACATCCCCCGCCAGATACAATTCCCAGATAAATAGCCATTTGCTGAAGTTTCCTCAAAGACGGCTGCTGGGTTCTGTTCCCTGAGGGGAAGAGGGGAAGGGGGGAAAAAATAGACTTATTGTATACGAGCAAAATAAGGGAATTCTGCCAAAAGCCTTTTCAATATTCCAGCAAAACAGGCCTGAATAAAAGCTCTACATGCAGCATTCAGTCAATGTGGGGGCCCTGCGGTTCACTCAGAGGAAATCCAGGATGAGAACTGAAGAGGATGGATATCTCTGCTCGAACCCGCTCCTCCGTTTCTTTTGGGGGATGCCACTGTTTTGCTAATTGCCGAGGGGAAAATGACCTCCCTGGTGTGGCCGGTGGCCAGAAATGTGGCATATTGTTCTTGCCAGCTTCCCATGCATGCCAAATAATACAGGGGAAGTATTCAGGCTTTGAGAGGGGGGCAGATTTACCTCAGACTGAAATGCCACACTGAAGGGAGTAAACACCGGGGGTGGATTTGGGTAGGAGAACGTCAAAGGGGGGAAGCCAAGCTGACTTCACTACCAGTAAGCATTACAGCCGCTGCGTTTTAGTGGCTTTTAGCTTTCACTCGCTCACACACAAAGAAAGAGGAGGGGAAAGGAAGTGATAAACAGGAAGGTTTAGTGATGGACTTCCCTCACCCGCTTGGTTTTCTTCCTGCTGCTTTTGCCCAGGTTACTTGAGAAAACCACATTATCTGTCATCTGCCTGAATTGACAGAGTAAAGTAACAAATACCACAGAGAAAGGGAACAGGTAAATGCCACCAAACAGCAGAAAAAGAACAATGTACAACTTTCTCTTGTCCCACACCACCAGGTTATTATTTTTATGAGGTTTTTATCCTGCCTTTCCCCCCCATTGGGGCTTGGGGCAGCTAACGGTGTAATAATACAGTAACAATAAAACCATAATGGCAATAAAGTCCAGTTATAAACTCAACACACAGCAAACTAATGCTTTTGGCATAAAAGTCAAGAGGGCCAATGGTAGGGTCCATTCGTGGAATGTCTGGTGGGATCACTCTTTTCTTACAGGCCCCGTGGAATGCAGACAGGCCCCGCAGGGCGTGAGTCTCCTCCGACAAAGCATTCCACCAGGTCGGGGCCACGATGGGAGGGGCTGGATTACAGAAAAAAAACATGATCTCAGTGTCAGGAAAATGACTCAGTTATACACAACCTATATATGTGCAAGGCTGAGCTTCCTGTCTGAAAATTGTTCAAGTCTTCACTGATCCATGTTCAGGGGTATACATCACAGGTGCCAAAGCAAGGGGTTAACATAAGGCCATACCTCTCCTCCTTTGGGTCTCCTTCAAGGATGGATTCAGACAGCCATGGACCAGGTGGTAATGAAGTTACTTTATTTATTTATTTAGATTTTTAGGTCGCTCTTCCTTGCAAGAAGAAGAAGAAGAAGAGATTGGATTTATACCCCGCCCTTCACTACCCAAAGGAGCCTCAGGGCGGCTTGCAAACTCCTTTCCCTTCCCCTCCTCACAACAGACACCCTGTGAGGTAGGTGGGGCTGAGAGCGCTCTTGATAGAAACGGCTATTTTTCAAGGACAGCTCTGACAGAACTACGGCTTGCCCAAGGTCATCCAGCAGCTGTGTGTGGAGGAGTGGGGAATCAAACCCGGTTCTCCCAGATTAGAGTCCGTGCACTTAACCACTACACCAAAAGCAAGGTTCAGGGCGGCTTAAACAAGAAGAAGACATACAATACGTAATTAAGTTAAAAACCAAGAATAAATACGTGAAACATAGAGCACCGATAATTCATCAGAATAATTCAGGCAGTCCAAGATGGCGGGGGGAAAGGTTCAGGGGGGAGGGGCTGCAGAGAATGGAGGGCACGAGAGTGCAAGACTACATGTTGTACCATCACTGTCCTCATCTGAATGCCTGGCAGAACACCTCTGCCTTACCTGCACTGTGGAAAGGTAACAAATCCTGCAGGGCACGGATGTTCTCCAACGGAGAGTTCCACCAGGTGGGGGAGCAGGGCCAAAAAAGCCCGGGCCCTGGTTGAAGACAGCCGGATCTCTCTCGGGTCGGGGACCGACCAGGAGGTCCTTACGTCCTGAGCATAATGCTCTTCTTGGGGCATACTGAGAGAAGCAGTCCGGAATGTATGTGAGCCCCTGACCGCTAAGGGCCTTAAAGGTCAAAACCATCACCTTGAACCTGATCTGGTGCTCCAACGGAAGCCAGAGCAGCTCGCGCAGCACAGGTTGAATATGTGCCATCCGGGGAGGCCCTGTCAGGACCCGCATGGCCGCACTCAACTACCAGTGTGGGTACAGCTGTTTTGGAACCAGGCTGTGGGTGTGTAAAGTGCTGCCAAGTCACAGCCGACTTATGGCCACCCCGGCAAAGGGTTTTCAAGGCGAGTGAGAAGCAGGGGTGGTTTGCCCGTGGCCTTCCCCTGAGGAGTCTTCCTCGGTGGTCCCCCTTCCAAGTACCAGCTGTGCTTAGATTCTGAGATAGTGGGGGCTACACCCTGCCACCTTCCTTCCAGTCCTGCCAAGTAGTGAGATCAGTTTTACCTCCAATCTCATACCAGGCTCTCCTGTTAGGCGGGAAACACTCTGACTGCCCTTGCTTACAGGGCTGGGATAGTCACATATGCTCCCCAGGGAACATTTTGCTGGCATGCACCCCATTGAAAAGTGCTCCTGTGAGACTCCCCTCACTTTTGACATGACTTTCCCGGGAGACAGTTCCAAGAGATCACGCCCCATGTGTGGCAGAGAAGCAATGGCTACGCAAGGGCTGCTTCCACATGGGGATTTCCCCCACAATGGAATGCAGGAAACCCCTAGTGCGTCATGCTCATGCCATACCTTATGCTCATTTCTACCCACACGGCCTCTGAGCATGACTCACAGGCATCCCAAGGTTTTTCCTCTTGGCAAACTGGATCAAAAAGAAATCTTCCCGAGGTTTTGGTCAAAGGGGGAACTGTGGAGTGGTTGCGGGCGAAGCAAAGAGCCAGTTTGGTGTAGTGGTTAAGTGTGCGGACTCTAATCTGGGAGAACCGGGATTGATTCCCCACTCCTCCACTTGCACCTGGCTGGATGACCTTGGGCGAGCCATAGCTCTGGCACAGCTGTTCTTGAAAAAGAGCAGTTTCTGTTAGAGTTCTCTCAGCCCCACCTACCTCACAGGGTGTCTGTTGTGGGGAGAGGAAGGGAAAGGAGTTTGTAAGCCGCTCTGAGACTCTGAGTGAAGGGCGGGGTATAAACCCAATCTCCTCCTCTCCTCCTCCTCCTCCATCTTTGTGGAAGCTCCGCCTCAGTCACCGCTGGGAGCTTAGCCCCACCCGCTCCCCGTTCAGCCCTTTAAAGGGCTTTTTCCTTTTGCCAGCTCAGCTGCACTCTACTGCATTATAGCACAGCTCAGCTAGACAAACAAGGGGGAAAGGGTTTTTTTCCCCCTGTGCCACGGAGGGCACTTCTCTGCGCTCTTTGACAATGCTGCACTTTTTGCACAGACGCAACACAGAAAGGGGGGAGGGAGCAGGGGTGGGGGAGGTGGTGAGCGCAGCGGGAGGCTGTCCTCGCCCCTTTTGCTGACGCCACGGCAGGGCTGAGTTTTCACAGCCCTGGGTGGGAGCAGCCAAAGAGGCGCATCATCTGCTGAGTCACCTCTTCAGTCGACAGAACAAGAGGAAACGCTAATGTGGGAATTTCCCCCCAGAATAATATTCAAGCTGGGGAACAAAACCAGCTTGCAGCAGCCATGCTATCGCTGGGCAAAGTTTCCTTATCTGCACCAAGATATGGTTGGCGCGGCCTTCTCTCTTCCCCGCTGGCAGAGCATCCTGAGAGCCAACCGCTTAGCTGAACCCAAGTAAAATCCCTGCCACACAGAAAAGTTATTTGCCTTCTTTCATGAGCAATGGGAAAAGCAAAAATAATAGCCTACGATGACGTGCTGTACCTGTTCAAGTTCTTCCCTGCCGCTCTCTTGATTTGAGCCCCAAAGAGCAGTCTGAAAACAGAACAAAATGTGTTAACGTTTTCCCATCTCCTTTGAAACAGACATTATTTCCTTCTCCCCCATCGACGCCCTCCAAAGCTGGGGGGGAAATGCAGAAAACGAGGAACTTTGAAACTGGGAACTGAGAAACACGCCCTACCTCTACTGTGACCACTGGAGTGGAGGCCATATATACTATATTCCAGTGGTTCCCAACCTTTTTAGTATGGTGGCCCAGTAGCAGTGTTCCCTCTAAGCTGAGTTAGTGTGAGTTTTTTAGCCTCCGGCTCACACATTTTTGTCTTAGCTCAGGAAGGATGGCTCCAGAGCAGACTAATTTACGCAGTAGCCAAATTGCTGGCTCACAACTTTAATGCCAGTGGCTCACAGAGTAGAATTTTTGCTCACAGGACTCCACAGCTTAGAGGGAACATTGCCCACTAGTACAAGTTTACTTACGGTGAACCATCCTGGGCAAGACCAAGGTTTTTTTGGCACCCGAGAGTGTGACCTTGTCACCCACGGAGTCCAGCACTACGTTTTCTATGGTGGTTAACGATATGTGGAGAAACCCACAAACATCACAACAAGAGTGCGGCTGCCCCCAGGCAAGCGGCACTCCATTTCGCCATCCTTCCAGCTACTGTCATAAACTTACTAGCTGCTGGACAGACCCCCTGCCCCCCTGGTCCCAAAGGCAGCCGGGAGGCGAAAATGTGAGGTGTTGACAAGGAGACCCAACAGAGAAAGAACAATGCAATGGGCAGGAATGGCCGTTCGGGGAGGGCTGGCCTGAGATCCACCTTCAGAGGCTTCACCGTCTACTTTTGGGTCCTGCTCCACAGGTTGGGAAACACTGCCCTATACATTGACTCCACAAGTCTATAGTTTCTTTTAAGGACTCTCTTGCTTGAGGGTCTGACTCCATTTTAAGTGATGGCACGTAAAACAGAAGAATGCACACCTCATTCCAAGTCCTTTGCATTCCCCCCCCCCTTTAAATATACATGATTCAAAGTGCTTTGGACAGTGAAACGTTTTCCTGTGGCTGAAATGAAGGCCGGGGGAGGGTAAATGCTTGAGCACATAATGCAGGCACCACATTCCCCCGTTTTCTCTTATGTGCATTCTCCCTGGCAGCACAGTTCCCAAGGGAAAGCCGGAGTACATAGATGACAAAATCATTGCCATGCGTGGTGTTTGTCAGCAGAAAGTGTTTTGTAATGAGTATTGCAGGAGCCACCAATGTTTCTGTGCATGATTAGCTCAGGTTCTCTTCTCTTAAAGAGTCATCGTCCTGTCCCCCGTCCCGTCCCCCGTCACACCCTTTCTGCAGAATTCATTGGAGAGCATTTCTACCCACCCATTAGGAATGCATTATGATGCATCTCCATTATTCCTTTGAACTGTGACATAAGTATGCAGTAAGGTTCAGCTGTTTTGTGCACTCGGAATGTGCCGAGAAATTCATGTTTCATGCAGAGGAGCCCTAAGTAACCTTCCTGTTACGTAGGGCGATTGTGACACAGCTGAGACGCTGGCTTCTGAAACCCACATTTCATCACCACGACCACTAAACATCCTTGCTCAACAAGACGGGCTGTAACCACCTTCTCCATATTCTTATCCATTCCCTTGTTGCTGACAGAGAAGTTTCCCATGGTATCTTTCTCCATCCTCATTGGTAGAACAACCCAGTGACAACTCTGTGTGTGAGGGAGAGAGAGTGTGAAGAATTTCAGACAGGCAATATATTCCGGAAGAGGAATGGTTCCCAAACGGTTTCTGGTCTGTCATTTCAGAACCGGTTTGAGAACCGGTTCCCTTCCGGAATATATTTGTCATTTCATACACGATCGCTTCTGTCCTGTTTAGGAAACGGGGCTGAAGCGTTTTACCTGTCAACCGCTTCCAAGTAGTCTTCAGTTTCCTCTCCCGGTTCTGATGCGCTTTTTCCCACCGTTTTTCGCCCGCGCGGGCGATCTCCGGCTTTTTTTTTTTTTTTTGGAACGTTTGCTTTATAGCTTTATAGCACTATAACGGAATAGCATTATATCTTTTTTTTAAAAAATAGTTTATTTTCATTTTTCCATAAAGTACACACATACACGTCTTATTTCAGTACATTGTTAACATTGGGGTTAAAAATTAAATATTTTTCTCGTACCATTTTATGGCCTTATACCATTTCTGGTTAAATTTATCTTCTAGTTTACCAGCCAGAAACATGTTGAGTTTATCCATTTCTATTACCTCAAATAGTTTATTTATTAATTCATCCCTTTTTGGTATCGTGTCTGATTTCCAGTTTCTAGCAATACAGATTCTTGCCATTGTGTTTAAGTATACAATAATACATGATTCGTTATACTTAATGTCGTTGGGTATAATATTTAACAAAAAGATTTCTGGTCTAAAGGGTAAATCGATTTCTGTTATGTCTTTTATCAATTGTTTTGTACATTTCCAAAATCTTTGTATATTCTGACATCTCCACCAGATGTGGAAATAAGTCCCGATATTATTCTTGCATCTCCAGCAATTCCCTGAGACATTTACATAGCATTTTTGTAATCTATCTGGCGTCCAATGCCACCTATATATCATTTTTAGTATATTTTCTTTGTACGGTGTTGCTCTTATTAGTTTAATTGAATTCCAGGATTTTTCCCATTCTTCCCTCTTTATCTTACGGCCCAAGTCCTTTTCCCATTTAATCATTGCGGGCTTTTCCCATGCATCTTTTAACTCCTCTTCTAGTAGTAGATTATATATTTTGCCTATTTGTTTGTCTGACTCTCGCAGCCAAATTTTATCTAGTTGTGTTTCGTTAACGTAGAAACCTTGTTTTTTGTCTTTGGTGAATCTCGAGATTAGTTGATTTCTTTCCCATATTGACAGATTTATCTGCATATCTTGTAGGGTTTCCCAGGGCTTAAGTTCATTTTGCTCATTTAGTAAGGTCTTATATGTTATATTTTTCTCTTCTGTCATTAGCGACGGTATTACAAAGGCCTCAATGGGTGATATCCACTTTGGTATTTTTTCATAAGTTTTTCCTCTTATCTGGCTCCAAATTTGCATTAGGGGTCCTCTTATTACATGGTTAGAGAAGCTTTTCTGTTTATTTTCCTTGTCATACCACACATAGGCATGCCAGCCCATGTGTAGGTCATGACCTTCTAGTTTTAACAATCTTTTATCTTCTAACAATGCCCATTCTTTTATCCACCCTAATGCAGCGGCTTGATAGTAGAGATTCCAATCCGGAAGGCTCATTCCTCCTCTCGTTTTCTTTTCACTTAGGAAGTTATGCTTTATTCTTGCTTTTTTCCCTTGCCAGATAAATATTCTTGTTAACTTGTTCAGTTCTTCAATAAATTTCTTATTTTTAAGGATTGGAATACATTGAACTAGAAAGATTATACGTGGTAGTATATTCATCTTGATCGTGGATATTCTACCCATAAGTGATATTTGGAACTCCTGCCATCTTTGTAAATCTTTTTTAATTTCCTCGAGTGTGACTTTATAGTTATTTTCATATAGATGTTGTTAACTTGTTCAGTTCTTCAATAAATTTCTTATTTTTAAGGATTGGAATACATTGAACTAGAAAGATTATACGTGGTAGTATATTCATCTTGATCGTGGATATTCTACCCATAAGTGATATTTGGAACTCCTGCCATCTTTGTAAATCTTTTTTA